AAAATTTATGGTCCTTACAGTTTGGCATCCTCCCAATATTTTTTCTCTAATGCTAAGGATGGTGATAAACTCCTTGGGTTGCCTATGCCTGTGACATCATAATGTTATAAACGAAGAGGGTATGTAGCTGAGATGATACGACGAGTAAGTGATCTGCTGCGGTGACTCCTGACAATTCTTTCCATTTTCTACGAATAACGAAAACAAAGAAAAAGGTAAATAACCAGATAAAAAATAAATCAATATATAATGTTATTCGTCAAGAACGCGTATACACTCGTAGGAAACAATAGGTGAAGTTAGCACAAATTTCTTCTACTCTACCATTTAAGCCAACCAGCTGACGTAAGTTCTTTATGGCAAATATCCATTCAAAAGTCACGAAATTGCATAGTCAACTCTAGATTGGAGATAATAGGTTATAGTATTAAACCTCATAGAACTCTTGCCAAGTTTTAAAGCACATGATCTAACTCTTGTGAATCTTTTGATCTATGGCCATCTACCATTTCATCCAATTGTGCTAGGAACATAAAAATAGTCAGTTCAAAATATAATAGACCCCAAAAGTGTATTGCATACATTATCTAGAGGTTAAAAAAAGAAAAAGAAACCTATTTCATAAGCAAGTCATTGAAAGAATGCAATGCAGACAAGAATGCAGTCTTTACCTATATTTTTAGGTAAACGAATATGTGACATGTTTTTTTAGATCCAGATTTCCCACACTTCAGGCCCGAAGCTACCTTTTCAGTCACTAAGAGATCTTTAAACTTTGGATAAGATTTGATCTTGGAAGGAGGTTTGGTTTTGTAAATTATTTCAGCTGAAAAAAATAAAAGAAAGAAAAAATTGCTGCTATTGCTGGAGTGGCCATGGATGGTACAACCGATCCTCATAGAGTTGCAGGCAACACTTAACGGATCTTGATATTATATTTATTATAACATACATATAAGATACAAACTAATACGGGTCTTGAACACACACAAAACACACCCACCAACATACAGAGTGACACACACAAACACAAGCGCACACAGATACAGCTGCACGCAAATGCATACATACAAGATTGTAAACGTGGAAGTATGTTGATTTTTTAAATTGTTCTTACTGAAAAAGGGAGAAAAAGAAGTGTTCTGTGTTGATTGTAGTTTTATACTTGGTCCTGAAATAGTTAAAACATGTATTGGAGCGCTAACCATACTAAATTTGAAGTACGAAATTTAGTAATTTGTATGTCAGTCGTTGAATTTACATTAATTGTTTGCGTAATTAATATCTTCACCTTCAGTTTAAAATATCGATGATGCATGTATTTCGCTCCACAATTTCTATTCATATTTTTTCCTTGAATGTTTTTTCACACTTTCTAAAAAGTAATTTTATGACCAATGAAATTACGTACCAAAAAGGCATATATTGGTTTCCCTAATTTTGAAATAGCCCTGATTTTAAGGAATTTGATGATAAATGTGATAGAATCATTTGGTGAAAGGTCTGGTTAACATAAAATCTGAAAATAATAGTAATTAAAAGATCAACATATATCTTTATTTTACTTACAAAAGTAATCGCTTCCTCAACCTCCACAGGCTTCTTTTCTTCAAGGGGCTTGATCTCGTAACCTCTCGGCAGTAAAGTAATAAACCGTAGAATTAGATCTTTATGCCCCCTAAATAACTCTTTCACCCTCGCTATAACCCCACCGTGTCAATCCTAAAACCAATAAATAACACAAAAAATTAAAGCAAAGGGATACAATTAACAAGCAATTAAAGTAGCCCAAATTTAGAAGTTTTCAACCTTGAGCTCTTGAAGTCCTTCATGACATTGAGGAATTCATCATATTTTCCCTCTTATCCTGAAATATATCTTCTAGACTTTAGATAATGAAGGGCATTGCTTGCTGTGAGCTTCGAACTATTACTGAAATACTCTTTTAAGTTATGAATAATTAGGTTTGTCGTCAAAACGTAGTGAACGACAGTAGTGGAAGTTGGATTCAAATTATGTAGGATATACACGACAAAATGCTTGAAGATAATATATCAATGTTGTCATGATTAAAAATTTATATATCTATTTAGTCATTATTAAGAAAAGTAAGAAAAGATGTCGTCAAGGCTCTCAACTTCATTATGTGAATTAGATCTTACCTCAATAGAGATGATAACTTTTCTTTAACTAATTTTTTCATATTTCTACTTCTTTGTTCTAGCTTTTAGACCTTGCCAGGGAAGACCAGAAACAACAAGAAAATCAAACTTTTGTTACACCATACTATGGACAAAGCTATTAAAAATAAAGTTGAGATAGACACCAGACCTTCCTCTTTAAAAATATGTGAGAACAAACCCAAGAGATTCCAGATCATCCCTTCTATTTTGTTCTTAAGATTCCAAATACAAGTCAAGCATATAAAATATGATAACTATATGCCAACCTCATCAAAAGGGTCATCCTAATAAAAGTAAACCTATAGAGTTTGTTGGCATACTACAGACAAAATAAGCTTGCAAGCAAGTAATAACAATGCCCATTGCTTACAAAGGTGAATGAGAGGACCAAAGATGGAAGGCATTAAACCATACGTGTATTTCAAAACACACCAACATCCAAAGGATCAAGCATTCACTACAAAAATATAGAAAAGAGAGTGCTTCCCTACAGGCTAAACATAAAATATTACATGTCATGACCTTGTAGATGTCAGGCTACAAGTAGACAAACATTCATGATTCATCACATAGATTCCACAAAATAACAAATATGCGACAGCCCAACAATACGGGGTTAAGAACAAGAAAGTTTGTATGTAATATAACCTGAAACCACAAGTCTATGCGGTATCTAGTAAAGTCGCTACCCACGGATCTATGAACATCATTAAAGCAACCAGACCGCAATGAGAAACATACTCAATTGGCACGACCTCGAATAACATCAAGGCCCATCTCTGTAGTAGGATCGGTGACTTGCAGCTCCACCTAAATACCATCCAACTCCCTCTTGAACCTGTCGTTGGAGCTTGCATAGAGCATCTTACTTCTCACCCTCGCAATGTCTGGAGACCTTCATGCAAGGGAAAACAACTACAGATCATTACCGCAACCTAAATCCATATATTATAGAAAAAAATTAGTAATTTACCAAGGAATGAAGAAGAACTTGTTCTTCTGACAGTTCTCCTCGGTGACAAAATCAAAGTCATAAATCGCATATCAACATTCATTCTCATGAAGGCTCGCAGTGAAATCCTCGTAGCTCATAGCGGGTTAACCAAAAATACTCCTAAAAATCAACATAAATAATTGTACATATAATTGAGTGACAGTTGGGAGACACTCATCGAATCAATGCTACACAAAGCACTAAATATAGCTTGTCAGTGAAAAGAGCACTCTGACCTTGTTCATATTGTAAAGAGCTTCAACCATGTCTGATGATCTATTCCTAACTGTACCAGGCACCTGAATATCCAAATGAATAAATGATTGCATTATATTAGGGAGACCTGTAACTACATTATTGCTTGCAGGTATGCTGTTAACTAAAATACTTTTAAATCAAAATCAAGCCTCCAACAATGAGGTAACCTTCTCTAATCCTTACCATGTTTCCGATAAGCTTCATAGAACCGCTCGAGCTCCTCTTTGCTCCATTGAGGCCCAAACATGTCAGATAATTTTTTTTTCTGTGAATGTGAAATGCCAAGAAAATATGGAAAGTTAGCAAACAACTTCTGTATTAACTACAAGACAATCAGTTCTAGAAAATAAAACTTGAAGAATAATATTATGTGCAATAGATCATTCAGGGAATAAGGCGTAGAATGCGTCATCTCATCTAAAAAAAAATTAAAAGGCCAATAATGTGAAACAACCGTTCAAAAGATGAACAATGAATCAAAGATCCAACAATAGGCATTTTCCTTGATTATTGAACAAATTAATCACAAAAGAAAGCAAAAATTTTGCCAATATAACAAAAGTACTTATGTGTGGCCTATTTTTATTCGCATTTGTTGCATCTATATCAGCCCATTCTTCATTTATTTTAGCAAAGCGGTTGTTCACGCCTCTAGATTTTCTGGTTGAAGCCATTAAAATTTCTTCGCCTGCATAAGTATGAAAATGTGATACACCATCATATATCATGTCACTAACAATTGCACATCAAAGGTTTGCAAAATAAAAGCATTCCAAGATGAAGCTATAAGAAAGAGATAACTAATAAAATATGAAAGACTATATTCAAAACTCATGAGGTAAAACCCCTTCCTTTAATATGGAAACTGATACGTAATTTAAATAAAAAAACAAAGGGCAAGGAGAGCAACCACTTCCTTCAAGCATTTTTGGTCACTTACAGCAAACAACAACAACAAATAGATTTGGTATTCCAACCGCTAATAGAACGTTTGAAATCAACTGTCATTTATCAAGTGCACAATGGATCTGCCATAACTTTAAGAAGGGGGAAAAATCACAAGTGAAAATTAAGGTATCCTAGACGGAAAATTCCGTCTAGGATACTCAAAATTCCGTCTAGGATATGTATTCTAGACGGAATTCCGTCTAGAATACATATCTAGGATGTTTCCGTCTAGAATGTAGTATTCTAGACGGAAATTCCGTCTAGAATACATCCTAGACGGAATATTCTAGACGGAAATTCCGTCTAGAATACTGCATCCTAGACGGAAAAAATTTCCGTCTAGGATGATTATTCTAGACAGAAAATTCCATCTAGAATAATCATCCTAGACGGAATTTCCATCTAGGAGGTTTTTAATTTTTTTTATAAAAAATAAGCTATTCTAGACGAAATTTGAGCATCCTAGACAGAATTTCCGTCTAGGATGTTATGCTACAGTAGTTTTTTTTTTTTTTTTTGCAGAATCTACTTTGAGTGCACATACACAATATCAAACAACAAATTTTATTCATATCCAACACAATCTAATTATATTCTAATATCAAATTTCATTATATTCAAATAATACATTCACCAAAATAGTAGAGAGATACATAAATTGTTTACAAATTTTTACATAAATTATTTACAATAGCTATGACACTGCTGAAGCTTCTTCAACTCCTTCCCTATACATTTACTCAGGCCTCCTTCTTCACCTTCTTCCTCATCATTCTGAGCGTAAGCATGGTCTGAAATGGTAAACAATGTAGAAGTAAGAAACAATAAAAACAAAAGCAGATAACTTATATCTCCAGTGAACTTGTGCATAATTATTATTGCACCTCAGGACCGGTATGATGATGAAGTGGTTATCCATAGATTAAAACAAAGCCAGAAGTTTCGCTGACTAAACTGGTGAATGAGTACTATATTGATATTTAAGACACATGAGAAAAGGAAACCTTTGTAAGGTTATAGAACTAGCCGCTCTTTAACTGTTAGAATGTTGGACAGGAAATGACTATGTTTTAATCATGACATTTTACAAAAACCTGTCCGTCGATAATAATACCAAGATGAACTGATAAATGAGTGTCTTAGCAAGATTACTGAGGTGGCTTCAATTGAGAATGAGAGAAAGAATGTTTGAGTCGGTTGGACGCTTACGATAAAACATATGATTAAGATGAGTCATAAATGAAGCAACAGAGAGTAAGGATTGACCTCACAGAACAGAAATCGAGGTATGGAAGAACTATTTGGATCAAGTTCAAATGCACCTGGAAACAAGAAACACGCAAAAAATTACCTGTGTATATTCGTGAAGTATGTCCCTATGCCTTGCAAGTTTTTGATTAATAGAACTTGTGGCAGACGCTGTTGCAGCACATCGGCTCATGGAATCATTAATATCGAGCAGCTTCTCTAGTGAGAACTCTTTTTCCATTTCCATGGATTTCCATGATCTACTGGGACCAACATTTAGTGATCCACTGTCCACATAACCTGTGATGTTTTAAAAAAAACAATAATAAACAACTAGCTATTACAAGAAAAAAGAAGAATTATGAGAAAGCACCGCAGATATAAGTTATTATTTTATGAAAGATGAGTAAATGTGTAACTCCCAGCACAGCACAGGATCAAATCATAGAGAAACCACGACTTATTACTACATGATAAATAGAAGGTAAACTTTGTCAAATTATGTAGAAGTAACAGATGGAGACTCCATATTTACAGTGAGTCCACATAAATGGGCCAAATACCACTTCTTTTTTCTAAATTTTTCATATCAAGGCTTCAAATCATGATATGAATCATATCACTTTCCATATGTATTTATCGATGATTTAATACTGTAAGATAATTTATAGACGTGTGGCAGTTAAATAATTAGGTGTATTGTGTAGAGCCATATATTCACGACTCACAAGAAGATGGAAAATTTTAAAACATAGTTGAATAACAAATAGAAATGTTAAGAGCTTGCAAGGAAAATGACAAGCATGTAAATAACAAAAAAGAATCCAAGTTCAATGAGTACAAGGCCTTTAATTAAATGCCAAAACACAATTCAACAAAATGTAAAAAACATCAATATTTTAATGAATAAAAAATTCCTAAACCAAGTCCATAATCATCCCAAAATTAACAAAGCAATCCAACTTAACATCAATATCTATCACTATCATCATCTTCAAGAATCTTATAGTTATTCCATAGGATATATATTTCTATCAATCATTCAATTGAATAGGGATGAAAGTGGTCTAAGTTGGCTGCTCTGTATTAACATAAATATGGTTTCACGACTTCAATTTTCATAGGGAAAAGCACAAAGGACTTCATCTTAGTTAGCAATGATGCCAATGACTGTAGAGATGCCAGATTATAGAGGTGATGGTTTCATACAGAACCTACCATTACCCCCTTCTCAAAGATTAAACACATGAGCACCGACGAAAAAACATGGCGACTAAAACATAAGCTCTCCTAATAAACCTCCGATGTATCCGAGAGGTTTTTATTTTGGTTTTTGTTAGATCTTGTAGAGTTTTGTTAGGCTGGTGGTATGCACTCTCTATGGGAGGCACTATTATTGCTATTGGCAAAGTGAAATGTTTAGGTAGTGTTGGATTTGGTCATGGATTAGTCAGAAGTTTGAACATGTTCAGGATCAACGTGACAAACTCAACCTTGCTTGAGTCTTGGAGTTTGACATTTTTTGGCATTATAGACACCAAAGCACATTGATTAATATGTGATTATATGCACATATTATGGAGAAGACCTAAATAGAATACATATCCTTCGTGTGATTGCTCTTGTTCACAGAGTAAAAAGATAAAGAATGTTAAAAATTGCTATTGATGTAACTGATCTTAAATGTAAGGGATGTATTTATGAAGGATGTATTTACAAATAACATTTTGAGATCTTTCGATATTTAAAATTTCTTTGAAACCTATTTGTCTATCTATTGAAAGAAAAACAACCTAGCATCAATTTGTTCAAGACTTTTTAAAAAAAAATCTAAATAATGTTTCATAACAGATCAAACAACTTTGAAACAACCCACGTCTATATAGCATAAGAGAATTACGTAACGGAATTTATTCGAAGATAAAAGACTTCTTTTTTATAGCCCAACCTGGAATCGAACTCAAGACTGTGGAATCCATGTTGAAATCTCTCGGATTTTTTAATATCACTTGTAAGCCTTATTTAATGAAAAACTCCAGATTCAAACTTGTTATTATTTTTCCTACAAATACAAAACAAGAAATTGGGAGAAAAAAATTCCTAACAATTTATAATCTTGTTTCGAACAAATATTCTCACCTGACAATGGTGTTTCTAAACCCTGGCTCAAACCTTAAAAGCCTCTCACCAATTCAGACTCGTTTCCTCTCTAACGTCACCAATCTCCTCCTCCTCCAAACTCCAAACCCTAACCCTAACCCTAGAATCCCCATGGCCACCACCCCCTCAAGAAGACCATTTTGCCACCGCTGCACAAAACCCCACCGCCTCTGCCTCTGCTCCCGCCTCAAGACCCCGCCATTGAACAACCCGATCTCCATCACCATCCTCCAACACTCCCTCGAGAAGCACCACCCTCTAAACTCCACCAGGGTCGGCCAATTAGGGTTCAAGAACCTCGCCGTGGTCCCCGTCACCGACGTCAACTTCGACAGCCCAAACGGCCGAACCCCACCGCTCTGCGTGTACGACTGTGGCGGCGGAGGAGGAGATGAGGTGGCACGCGGAGGAGAGGATGTGGGAGTTCGGTAAGGGGTCCGGTGAGGAGGAGAGAAGGCGGGAGAGGTGGTGGAGGCCGTGGAGGGAGGGGTCAGGGGGTGAGCTTGGAGTTGAGGATTTAGGGGGATGAGGCTGCTTGTTACGGAAAAAATTCAATTTTGGGATGAAAATTTCCATTTTGGGGGGAAAGGAGGGTCGGGTGGGGGTTTTGACGAGCTTTTATTTTTTTTTTAAATGAGCAGTTATTCTAGACGGAAATTTCCGTCTAGGATGTATCCTAGACGGAAATTTCCGTCTAGAATACCTGGTTATTTTAAAAAAAATTAAAAGAACCGTCTAGGATACTATTCTAGACGGAATTTTCCGTCTAGAATGTTTTATTCTAGACGGAATATTCTATAGACGGAATTTTCCGTCTAGAATGTTTTATTCTAGACGGAATATTCTAGACGGAAAATTTCCGTCTAGTTTAATACATTCTAGACGGAAAAAATTCCGTCTAGAATATTCCGTCTAGAATACGTGATTTTCTACTAGTGAATAAACAACAAATTTAGAATCCATACAATTTAAACTAGAAACTGCTCATTAAGGGGTATCATCATTCAAATAAAGAATAAAAAGAAGGTTAATAAATGTTCCTTTAGGCAAGTAAACACCCTTCCAAAAGCGAACACAGGTAGATGCATGTGAAGAATGCAAAACTTTGAAACACATATCAATTCCCTGATGCGATGGCACTTGCATCAGGCTGAAGACTTGTGAAAGTTTGTATGGCTCAAAAAAGTCCATGAAAGAGATGAAGGTATTGCAATACAATCTCCTAAAATTTTGAAATATTGTTGTTCAACAACAACAACAAAAAAAAAACAACCCAAAAAAATAGTTTGAAAAGAGAAGTGTTCAGGGTTTGAGTAATATCAGTCATGCTTATTTGGCCCAGGTACATTTAACATATGAATCCATAGGCGGTGAGCCTTATTTGGGTACTTTTGGTGAATTCCGCGTAGTTTATAGACAATTGAGGACATGGCTAACAATGAGACGTTTCACTGCGCTTGTGCTTGACATCTACTCGGCTCAAGTTGAGTTTCAATTGAAAGCCCATCCAAAGGTCCATTAAGACGTCTGCAGTACATTTGTTTTCTCGTTTGTTTGTATGTAGGAGACAGACAACAGATAGGATGGTCCAACTGGGGTAGCACAATGTACAGGTTTTGAACTTCGTTTGGTTTACAAACCCAACAACTGAGGGGGAGGGGGGAATTAAAATAAGAACTTTTTTTTTTACATTGAACTCTATAATCAAGAGTAAGATCAGTGTCATGGAGCTCAGGAGAGAGTGACGTAGTTCTGTAATCCTATTGAATATTCCAGATGAATAAAGATAGTGCAGATATATAGCTTGAATTTCAGTAGCATTCATGATTCTTTGGTCATCTGTTCTACGGGAAAATGAGGTAGAATTTGTCTTTATTCACACTTTATAATTCTTCATAAATATAGTGACTGGATTTTTTAGCTATCAAAAGAGTAACTAATGTTAGATCTAATAAAAACTTGAGATCTAAAACAATAAAGCCATAATTAATTCGAAGAGATTAACAATAATCATAAAGAGCGGAATCTTATACATGAATCCATAGATGAACCTGAGATGGGTTTTAGATCTTCTAACCTTAGGGTTTTCTCTATAGCCGAATTTCTCTCTAGATGGGGGTGAAGAGAATAAGAGAATGTAACCCTAGATTAGGGACCATAACCCCTTATTTATAGATGTTGTAAATTTGTAATTTGGCCCCTCAACAAATCACAATTACAACCTGGTATCTTCACATATAACCCCATGATTTATTTAAATACCCATTAACCCAAATTAATTGATCACTTTAGTGGGTTATCCTGAAAGATAGCAATACACATTGATTAATCATATGTACCCACAAATAGATTTATTAGATTAAATCCAACAATCTCCTACTTGGGTACTATATGATTCCTTAAATTGTGTATAACCTTATGAGCTCAAAAATTGCTATCACTGAAAAGGTATTTCCGAACAATCTCATCCATTGACTATATCAATATAGGATCAAAGCGGCATTCGTCACATTTATCGTGACTCGACCCATCAATGGTCACATATACCAATACAACCAAACAACATAGATCAATCATGGATGTGCAGCATTAAAATTACATGCAATGTGATCAGTACATGTCTATTTTCAACTGGTCCTCTTTAGTGAGGTCAAAACCAAACATAATGTAACAGAGTGTCTTAACTGAATACTTTATTCTGATCAGACAATACAACCAAACATAAAGCACCACAATTACAAACTCCCACTAAAACATAATATCCTCAAATAATACCACACCCATATGAGCAGTATGCTCATGAAAGACCTTAGGTGGCAATCCCTTAGTAAGAGGATCAGCTATCATGGAGTTTGTCCCAATGTGCTCTATGGATATCTGTCCACTCTGTACCCTTTCTTTCACAACCAGGAACTTAATGTCAATATGTTTTGACTTAGTTGAGCTCCTGTTGTTATTGGAATACATTACTGCAGATTTATTGTCACAATATAACCTTAGTGGTCTTTCAACATTTTCCAAAATGCGCAGTCCCGTGACAAAATTTCGCAGCCATATAGTGGATGTAAAAGAGAATGAGTATGATCAATAAGGTGAGAAGGAAAAATGAATAAAATCAAGAAACAAATAAAAAAATATCAAGAATGAAGAACAAAATTCTAGAATAAAAAAAATACAAGAAATTAAAGATGGTGGATTCAATTATAGATATGGGTAATCTAAAATTAAACTCACTTCTTAAAAAAGGGTGATTCCCTAGAAGGTTCTAGCCTAAAGGCGAATCAAACAAAATAAAAATAAACAAAAAGAAAAACTAAACCCAAGAGGGTTCTAGCCTCAAGGTGAATAGTATAAGAAATTAAAATATAACTACAAAATAAATTGCAAAATCTAAACTACAAAATAAAATTGCAAGAATTAAATACAAGAAAATAAATCTACTCTATAAGCATGAAATAAATCTAATCTATAAGCATGAAATAAATCTAAGGCAAGAGGGTTCTAGCCTCTTGGCTATTTAACAAAAAAATAAAATCTAACTACAAGCATAGAAATAAATCTAAACTAATAAGCAAATAAAAAGAAATAAAAGAGAAAAAGAAAAGAAATGCAAACCTTCAAATAATTCTCCATCTTCATCTTCATCTTCATCATCCAACAAAGAGAAGAAGAGAAAAATTTAAAGTGGTGAAAAAATTATTATTATTAATTGCAACAAAAGTTACAATTTTGGAAGGCCTTCTCAATTAAGAGTAGCCCTCCTCTCCAAAAGGAGTTACAAAAATTTTCACCCTCTAACCCCTCACTCTCTACCCCTATTTATAGTAATCTTTAATGAATATAAGCCATTGGATTTGTCTTGAGCCCCAAGCAACAATCTCCACCTTTGATTTATTTGCTTTTCCAAAAGAAAATCAAAATCCAACTCTTGAGCCCATTTAAAATCCAACTGAATTCCATTATTTGAGCATCATCCAAATCTTGAGCAGCCCATGTTCACTTGATTTTCAAAAGAAAATCACATCCAAGTCTTGAGCCCATTTAAGTTTGAACAAGTCCGGCCCACTCCCATGAAAATACAAATTGATTTTCGGCTCACAATTCATTCAGCCCAAGCCAGCAGCAGCACCTCAAGGTCCGGTTTCATTTGATCAAAATTAGCAGCCGATCCGGTCTTTGATTAACATCAACTCTGCACCTCAAGGTCTATTCATAACATTGATTTTCAAATCCAATTTCAACTCCGGCCCATAGAGCTTGAAAAAGAAAATAAAAGTAAAGCAGCCCAGCAGGTCCACTTCGGTCCATGGAGCCATGAAGATTTCATTTGTGATTTTCTTGTGAAAATCCAAACCAATTCCGGCCCATGGAGCTAATCATCCAAATCTGCAGAAAATTAAAAGCCCAAGTCCGGTTTTTTTTTGAAATCTCCAGCAGCCTATCAATGTTCGGTCTTGATCAGCAACAAATTCAGCCCATGAAGTGTAATCATTTGTTAATGGGCTTGGGCCTTTTAGCTCATTTGAGAATAAAGAGGACTTTGCTTCTTTGGACATTTTGGCTTTTGGCTTCAATTGATCATTTTCTTCACTTGCTTGATGGCTTCATGCTCTTTGGGCTTCTAAAATGCTACAAAATAGAGAAGAGAGATTTTGAGGGGTTTTTACATTTAATAATATTTATTTATATTTTCATTCAATTATGAGGAAACTAATCTAATAACAATTATTAATGGTATATTTATTCATGTAAAATAGATAATGAGGGTATAAAATTGTAATAAAATATGATTATCAAATACCCCCACACCTAAACTTTTGCTAGTCCTCTAGCAAAGAAAAGAAAATCCTAACTCACTTTCGCAGAAAATCACGGTTGTATTTAGCGCATATAACAAGCCTTTAAACCCCTAGGTTACCCTAGTGGACGAGTTGTAGTCTCGTGAGGGTTTGCAGTGAATATACCCATAAAATTCAGTCAACTTGCCAAATTAAAAAAGTCAGTAAATAACTAAATTCACTTGATAACTTTTAGATAATCTAATTGGAGTCAGTTATCACTCAAGAAAACATTTTTATATATAACTCTATATTTTCAAGAAAATCTTCTCATTGTAGCAATACAAAACCAAGCCAAACTTAGAAATTTAATTTAAAAGTTTTGAAAAGAACATGCTAACTCTTTGTTTTAAATAATTTTCAAGTTGCTTGATTTAAAATATTTTCCAAGACCATATATACAACTATAAAACATTTATTAGTTTTTTTATTTTTATTTTTAACTCTTTCATCCTTGGTGATTTTTTTCTACTTTAACGGGCTTTCTAAGTGACCATTTAACGAGTTTTGGGCCAATGGATCCCAACCCAAATGGGCTTAGGTCATTAAGTATGAAAATACTACTTGGGCTTAATTACTCGGTCAGCTTAGGCTTTATAAGATAGAATCACCTTGAATTCAAGAGTTTTTTTTTCTTTTTGGTGCCCATTTTTCGCACTCTTCTTTTGCAAATATTATTTTTTTGCTTTTTTGTATATGTATATATATTTTGAAAATGTGTAAATCAAGACACTTTGAAAAATT